GTATAAAAGAATTTCTCTTTAAAGGAAACCAATGCTACGTCGTGTATTACCACCTATTTTGTTATATATATCACGGGAAGAGAACTAACCATTTTGTATAAGATTAAACATTAGTTAACTAAATGGTAGAGATAAATGAAGATCTAGAGCATCGTGCCTTTGACCTACACCTCCAATTTAACGAGCATTTAGTGATATCTGTATTGAGAGGAATATGAACTAACTGTAAATTGTGTAAACAAACGCATTATTATATGCATTTACAATTGTCTTCACAATTTCATCAAAAGAAAGAAAAATTAAGTTATATTAAGTTTATCATATGATAATTCCTTCGACTCTCTGAGCCCTGGATTAATGCAAACTAAACGAATAAAATTTTTTAACTTGCATTTATTAGCTTGCTATCAAAATCCAATACGCCACGTCTTTATATAATTACAAAAAAAAAAACTAGAACTGGGGGAAAAATACATTTATCATTGTATTATTTATTTATTAATATCTTTAATGTAATTTTTATTTTCTTAAAAAGCTATGAAAAAAAAAGAAAAAGGAAAAAAAAATTACAATACAAAAAGAAACGCTGTACGTTAAAATACATATATATATATATATAAATAAATAAATTTACTCTTTAATTAATTTAATATGTGTGTGTGTGTGTGTGTGCATGTCTTAAAATAATATCAATAATTAATAGATTGATTATAGTGGAATTAATTAATAATCATATACTGTATTTGATAAAGAAAAATATATATATATATTGGTAAAGTTACTATACTGATATATGTATATATATATACACTTTCGAGTAAAAACGTGAAGGCGCAAGCGCCTTTGGGGAAATATTTTCCAGAACTTTCATTTGCTGAAGCATAAGTGACGTCAGAAACACCAAGGCCGAGAACGCGTTGCAACATTACAATATGGAACTGCGTAGAGAACGACAGTTGTTCTATTAGTTACGTTTCGTTCGTCCGAGCGGATGTTCTGCTCGTCAGAGAGGAGTGAAAAACTTGTGCCAGTTATCGGAATACTCAACTTGGCGTCGCTGAATAAGCGGACATTTCCTCGTGTGAAGTAGATTAAAAAAAACCGTCAAAATTATACGAAGAAAGAAGTATGAGTATTAGTTCCAGTCTATTATTAAGTAATTGTGAAAGTAGTAAAAAAGGTGTAATAATGCCGAGTTTAATTTCAAGTAATTGGTAAGTATTATATACTTGAAGTGAGTCTAGTACAGCGCGTTACCATTGCGCCATTTTTCTTTTGTGCTTTCGTGTCCGACGCCATCTTATGTATCTTACACATCACGATTTCTATTTTTTTTTTTTTTTTCGTTTTCTTCTTTTTCTTTTTGTTTTATGCGTCGTTCCACGTTTCTCTTCGTTTTTTATGTCTTTCTTTCTTTTTTCTCTTTTTCACAAAGATCATAAAACTTTATCTTTTTGTGTGCTGTATTTATGATTAAACGTGAACTTGATCATATATAATTAGCACCACGTTTAAAAAAAAAGAACAAAACTAAAAAAAAAAAAATAAAATAAATTAAAAATACAAAAAAAAATACAATTCTTATAGGATAATAATACGTTAAATGTACATATATATATATTTTCTATTATCTAGACGTGATTTCGTTTTCTTTTTTTTTTATTTCAACTATCAATAAAATTTAAAATAATCACGTAATCATTACTGAAACAATGTAACAATCTATCTAATTCAATTTTATTGAATATTTATTGATAATTATTCTTATCATAGGTTACAACCTCTAAAATTATTTTAACTACAGAGAGAGAGAGAGAAGAGTATTCATGTTTTTAATTCGTCATGCAACTTTCTAATCAAATTAACCTTTAACAAATTATTATCAACGCTATATTATCCTATAGATTTCATCAATTTAATAATGTCACAAAACTCTTATTTTTAAAATTGATTAACGATAAGGATATAAAATCTAAAAAAAAAAAGAAAAGAAAACAATTTTAAGTGCTAATTATATATATACATATATATGTCATGTCGATCGTTTAATTTATCGAACATTATCGCGCCCGCGTGGTGTGTGTATATATGTATGTATGTGTGTGTGTGTGTAATGTAATGTAATGCGCATTCGTATGAAAATGTAGTCCAAAGAAAGCTACGATTTATGGCAATTCGATGAGATATAATCTTATTTATGAATATTATACCATATGAAAATAGATAATAATAATAATAACAATATACATGATACACATGTATGTGTTTGGTATGTGTATGTGTATGATGTTATACGTATAATCTGTTAATTGTTGATACGAACTTCCGCGTTTAGTATCCTTTAAATTTCTTATATTATCAAAAAAAATTCATAAATATACATTATTCAAAATATAAAATTTATGTTAATGTGTGTGTATGTATGTGTGTGTGCTATAAAAACTAAGAAATTTCTTTTATATAATTTGTTATATATATATATATATATTTGTTCATATTATATTTTAAATAAATATTATATCTACATATGTATATTATTTATGAAAATTATATGATTTTTATTTTTATTATATAATATATATATATATATATATATATATATTTACATTTTCCAGAGAAATGTTTAATATCAATTAATAGTGTAAATAATTTGTTGAAAAGAAAAAAATAATTAATAATATTAGTTCATTGTTAAATTTTGATTGAAACAAAAAGTTTGCCTGCAGATGGTAAAAACCGGTTTTGGATCTGATGTATGAATATTCCGTTAGGTGCAGCGGCAATTTCATTTTGTTTTCTTTTCAACACAATGTCTATCAGTATTAAGCATACGTGTCTCTGATCACGTACGTTTTCATATTTTATTTTTTGTTTTCTGTATAACTCGAGAGGACAAATTTATACTATTCTTTATCATTCTAAGCTTTGGAAGTTTCTTATCTCACTAATGTGACACATTTATCTCTTTGTTAAACTCACTTTATATTCATTAATGAATCTAGTTAATTCAAAAATATTTAAAAATAATTTTTGTATAAGGTGATATATTTTTAATGTTATCTATACTATGTTTAAATTTACAAAGAAAAATATCTATTTGTATATATATATATATATAGGGATCCCTATATAATTCCCTAGGATATGCAGTTATATAGGGATTATACATAATTCAATTATAAAAATAAATTAGATCCATATACTTATGGAATAACTTCATACTTTCTAAATATATTTATAATATTTAAAGAAAGAAAAAAAAAACCAATATATGACTTTGGATTAATATTTTGTACTCTTACAAAATCTATTTTGATTGTTTAAAGGAATATAAATATAAGGAAAATCAATTTATTGATTTGTCGATGAGATATAATGTCGTGAAAAGTTGTGTTTATTGCAGGGAACTCGGTCGATATTAGAGTAAATGCAATATAAATATTTTCTAAGAATAACGATTACCAATGATTAAAAAAAAAAAGAAAAACAGGGAGGAAGAAGAAGGGATATATGTTAGGTTCTCATAATATAAAACAGTTCTTATATAATCCCTATTGTCTTCGTTCATTAAGCTAGTTGAATTTATTCGATCAAAAACATTGAAAGGGTTGTTTAGTTCGGGCAACATATTTAAAATACAAATTGAATATATGAAACACGTGAAGAACAACTACTTGCGTCGTTATCTTTATCTCTTTGCATCATTCGATTGTAAGATAAATGATCGCTTATGGCTTATCGCAATAAAGATACTGAAAGATATTTGTATGTGTGTATGCGTCGTGTACTAAAGGATACGTGGAATATTACAAGAAGTCGCGTTGACAATTTAAGCTGATTCACTTTTATTATCTATCGCGTGACTTGTTCTCTTATAGTCGACTATCACAAATGCGCTACTTGTTATAAACTATATTCGTACACAGAAATTATACCTGCATATCTATACAATTGTTTACCATTAAATATGCTCATAGGTAGTATATACTTATATTACTTTGATAACAGTTTTACTATTTTTGTTTCAAAGTCCAAATTTATGATAGCTTTGTTGTTTCCATTCTAAATAATAAATAAATTTTTTTACTAATATATATATACACACACACACACACAATACGATATGATATATGATAACAATATGATAATGATAAGTAGTCGCTACAGATAACGTTTATCATTCTTTATTGATAATTTTTATCCTTACTTTTTTATTTACATTCTTTGATTATCAATTAATCATCAATCAGCTATATGTGTGTATCTGTACATATATATTTAGTTTTGTTGGCATAGATGATAAAAAAGAGAAAGACGTAGAGGAAACAAATAAACATAATGGGTGTAATGCAGAATTACACAACGTAGAAGTTTCAATTAGGGAATACTGTTTTTAGCATTTTGTCTGGGGATTGGTAAAAGAATTTTTGGCTTAATTCTTAATAGAGAAGAAGAAAACGTCATCTCTTCATGCACATTTATTTTCTTCACCTTTAGTTAGACTTTGAACACATAAATAGGATATGTATAGGTATTTACACGGTTATGCGTTTGGCTCGATGCCTGTTTTTAATGACGTTTGAATTTAAAGCAACGACACGATACACACATACACACATACATACATACATACATACATACATACATACATACATACACATATATATGATATTCTTTTATTCACGTATATATGTATGTATATTTACGCGGAATCTTTATAAATGGAGAATGTTCAACGATCTATTTGTCATTTACCAGTTATCCTTATGTCCGTTCTCTTATAAGAGGTGAACTCTCTCACAGTTTCACGAATATCGTTGTGTTTGAATTTGCCGCGTTTTTTCTGATCTTTTAAAACAGCTGATTTTTTAACGCCTCGGAATATTCCAAGATATTTTTAACAATAACAACAAACTCAGCGTTTATCATCGCGTTTTTAATCAATTTTATTTTTCATTACTTCTGTTAGTAAATTCTTAACTTTATACGTATTTTTAAAAATGGTACCCAAACCATTGGAAGTGGTTCCAAGATCATGGTAAACATTATATAATATATTCATGTAAAATACTACATATTTTTTAAGGATTATATTTGTCTTTTATGAAAACGAAACATTATGTTCAAATTTGACATTATGAACAAATTCATTATATATTTCCTTTTTTGTGAAGATAATAACCCACGTAATTAGTGAGATTATTACTGTATTCCTTAAATTTGTGCGCAAAACTAGATCTTGGCTCAAAATAGTTGATTACAGATAACTGTATAGATGTATAGATATATATATATATATAAGTGTTTTATTAATTTTTGTAGTGAAATGTCGAGTAAATGTATGGACGATAGCCTAGAGGATGGTTCCAGGACACTCCAGCATTACTGTATAACGCTGGGTGTGGGGCCTCTGTGGTGGTCCTGATGTGCCCCATGCCGCATTGTCTGTATCTACAGTCAACACAGAGAGCCGCGGCGTGGGGATCAAGCAGAGTCAGCTCTCTGTGAGCTCCCACATTGTGCAAGTATGTTTCATTATTAAATAAAATATAATAATTTAGATGAATGATTTTGATTTCTATGTAAAATGTAATATTATTTTGTAGGAGGATGAATTGTTGAAAGCCGTAAAAAATTGTGAATCAGTACGCCTGACCTTTAAGCTTCACTTAACGGAGAGTACCTCCGTTGAGTGGGAAACAGTAGTATGGCGCAACTGTCTCTACATTCGCGTACCAAGCTGCCTTCTACCAGAGGGTTCCAAGGAGGGATTTGTATCCCTTTTGGAATATGCCGAAGAAACATTACATTTTACTAATATCATTGTTTGTCTACGTAAAGACAAAGCAGATCGAGGTAGTTGTCGAATTCCTTTATTTGAAACTGTAGAAGGCTTCCGTTGCGTTGACAAAAATTCTCCGTCTACTAAATCTGTTTGTTGTTATGGTCTAGCTATGCTGGTTCGTACCTTCATGTTTTTGGGCTTCACGGTACTACCACCAAATCATGCCTTGGTACCTCAAATCAGTGACCCTGGTAATCTCTACATGCTCTATGCCATCGAGTAATCGGCAAGCAGCTAGACTCCTCTCAAATTTAACGCGCAGGTATTTTTTATTTTCACTTTATTTTCACTTTATTTTCTTAAACATACATATTATATATTTATTACATAGAATTTATTTACTTTCTTCTATTCTACTATTCATTATTTATATTATAGGACTATTTCATTTTCAATACATATATGTTGTTGTTTATTGTTTTTAATTAATTTATTAATTATTTTTGATTTTATCATTACAGGTACTGTTAAAGAAGTTTATTATAAAATTCAACAAACAATGAAGAGTCAAAATTGACATTTTATTTGATTATTCTTTTCCATTAATTTTGCTTTGCTTTTTATTTTTCTATGCACCAAAAGATGGACTTAAACATTCTTCTGAGAATGCTATCTTAAAGTATTCATTTTCATTTTTTTTTTTTTTTTATAATATAACGAAATTGACATATAATGAACAATTGGACATATTGAAATTTGATTGAAAACAAGAAAACAGAAAGAAAGATAATGTATCTATTGGAAAATTGCCTTAGCGTTAAATTTAAGAGGTATTTTAGGAGTACGGAGAGAAATTAATAGTCTCGTATATGTAGAGTTACTTACGTAACAGGCTTTTGATGAATGTATCAATTCATTCTCTTGAACACAATGTTAATAACTCTCGTAAGATCATATAAATTGCTGACTAAGCTCTCCCACGTATTCTGAAAAAAATTGATGATTCAATGTTACAAATTAATTTATTAAATTGTAACAATAATCATCAAATTTTAGAAGAAATTTATTATCGATAAATCTCTATATGTTAATCGTGGCAGATTGGGTCTAACTGTATTTTTTTACTTATAAGATATTAACCTTCTCTTAATTACTATTATTATTATTATTATTATTACTTTTTATTATTACCATATTATTATTATTATTATTATTATCATCATTTCTAAGTATTATTTATAGCAATAACTTTATTATATATATATACAAACTCTAATATCAAATTTGATATATGTACATTTAATTTAACATTTAATATGATACCATTTCCTATAGTTGTTTTATAACTTTGATTTCTCTATAACTTTTCTTTTAAAAGAGTTTCCAAAAAAAAAGAAAAAAGAAAAATTTATAAAGTTTTAACTGCAGTAAAATTGTTATTGCTTATACATTGAAATATCTGGAGTATTATAGTGAGTATTTATTTTTTGTTTCTTGTTTGTTTTTTTTTTTTTATGACAGTACTTACAATAAGAACGTGAGATCTACGTTAAATATTTTCTTTTAAACAAGTAACAAATAATAGAAACTTGGACGTTAAAATTTAATAAAGAGATACTGCGACTTTGTAATTGTTGTTATCATAATTTATAATCATTATATTATATCTAAATATTATATATATATATATATATATTTTAAGTTTTATTCATTTTTAGTCATATTTTAGAATATAAGTAAATATTATTATAATAATACATTATTATATAAATAATATGTCATCCGGTAATTCCCAATCGATTAACTTTGGAGAGTTCTTGCTAATAAATGTGTTCTTTAGTGTTGACTTGATAATAAAGACAAAAAGATGAAAATGAGAGAAAAAATACAAAAAAAGTGTAAAATATTTTAAAAAACTCATAAAAAATGTTCATAGCTTAGTAGAAATATATTATTATATATATAAATATATATATATATAGAGAGAGAGAGAGAGAGGAAAAAAGAAAAAAAGAGAGTAAAGGTAAGTAACGAATGACGGACTATTATGTGTTCAATTCATTTAAATGATCAAGAGAATCTACCTAATGATTTTAATTTGGAAAATAAAAACAATTCTGTAAAAGTTACTCCGTCAGTTAGTATTATATATATAATATATATATTCATACAACACACACTTGACCATCTAAAAAAGTATATGTATGCTACATTTATTATTCATACATGAAAAAACAATTGCTAAATAAAAATGGAATAAAACACAACATTATATGTCGTTGTTATTTCAATCGACAAGAAAAAGAAAAAATCAAAGGGATGATTAGGAGATGTGATGAATGATCATCATCATCACTGTTTGAAGGAAGGAAGGAAGGAAGTTTTGATTTTGTGTTATGATTCAATGATATGTAGAAATAGTTCTAAATTATGTTAATTATAAAACATTTATGAATGTAGATTATTAAAATAAAATCAGTATTCTCTGCTTTATTATTGCATATATTGATATTTCATTTTTGTTATTATAGAAATGTATAAAAACAATATTTACGTAAAGAAAGAACGAAGAGAATATTTAATAACAATACTTATTTTCGATTGGTTTTTTCTTTTTTTCTTATTAATATATATATATATATATATATACTATTTGACTGTATTGTAAATCTATATGTATTGTTGTACACATTGAAATGTTATATTTCTGCATACTACATATCGATAATTATGTTTTTTTTTATATACTATTTACTGTCATTAATGTATTTCTAAATGTTATAGGTAGATTCGAATATTTGTTTAAGTTTTTTTTTTGGAATTGTTGCGTATGATTATTGATGATATAATTAAGACAAAAAAATGTTAATTTTATTTTGAAAATCGAATATTTTGGTATATATATATATACTTTTCATTTAACAAAAATTAATAATTATTTATACATGATAGTTCTTAAGACTTGTATATCAGAATGATTAACATGATTTGTAACTCTCTTTCGTACTTTATACAATCACAATAATATTCTTTCATTCTCTCATTTTTTTTCTCTCTTTTTTTTTTCTTTTCTTTCCTATTTCTCCCTTTCCTTTTCCAAATTTTCCTTTATTATCAAATAATTAATTATCTGTAATTAACAATAGTATAAAATATAAATAAGCCATATAATTCAATTATAAGAAAACATATATTTTTGTTTTGTAGAAAGTTGATATCATTGCAAATATTATTATTGTTACAATATTAGTATCTTTGTATACTTACAATTTATTTAATACTTAAAGAATCGGATACATTTTTTGGAACAAGACCTAAACTATCAAGCATACCCGATGGTGTTGATTCTTCTATCGGATAAGCCGTCATTTCATTACATTTAATTAAATGTATGGCTGTAATGATCATATCTCAAAATTATTATACAATGTTTCATTAATTTTACGTTATAAAAATAATCCTTTCTTGTTTATTTACCCAATTGATTTCCATCGTTTGTTGTGTAACCACATCGACATTGCATTTTCTTTTCCAATGGAATATTTATAAGTGGAGATGGAACAATTAAACTGGTCATAGGTCTTTCGTTATGAATTTGTTGTAAATGTTCTTTAAATGCACGCCAACAACATGTTACATAACGACACTGTTGACACCTTTGTTCTCCGCTAATAATTACAAAAATATAATCATTCTCGTTAAAGTACATACCATCATATCAATAATAATAAAAAAAAAAACAAACAGAAAATCTTACGGATAATGATCCTGTTCATCGATATCTTCTTCACATTCTTGACATGGTAAGTGACTACTAGAAGCATTAACCGAAATTGGTCCTGTACTCCACTTTTTGACACATTCGTCTCTTGGTAATTCAGGAAGAGGACTTTCTACATCAAATCTTCTTATCACAGGTCGTTGTTTCAATAACACTATTTCTTTTTCAGTCGTTTTAAATGGTACAACTTCTACAAAACGTTTTTCAACAATATGTGTTAACGTATGAGAAATAAAAAAGAATATATATATATATATAGATATTTTATATAATAAATAATACTTGCTCGAATTGATAACAGAATTGTGTAATTCTCTTTGATGAATTTTCAATGAACTTTTTTGATTAAACCATAAACAACACCTTGGACATTTATTTCCACGTCCTTGTTCTTTCCTGACAATGTGTCTTTGCATATGAAGTAAAAACGAATGTATACTTGATGCATTAGTTTGTCCATCGACAATAAATTCTATTACCTATATTTAAATAGATTTTATATTTGATCCATTTTTATTGCTACAAGTAATTTGTATCAAAGACAAATGAAAATTTATCTGTTGTATTTACCTTTAGACAAAATGGACATTGCAAACCATCACCCTTTTCATGAATTTTATAATAATGATCTATAATATCTTTGTGACTAGATGTTCTATAACCACAGGTATTGCATTGATATGGCATTTCTGAAGGACAATGCATCATTGCTAAATGATTAATCAATAAATGGCTATTACCTGAAAATATTAAAAAAAAAAAAAGGAATAATTTTAAATAAATATTTCATTGGTTAACATGAAATATCATTTTGTATAATAATAAACAACTCACCAAATTTCTGTTCGCATATAGCACATACAACCATATCACCAGCAGATTTACCAAATGTACTATGAGCTTCCGAAATATGAGTTACCACCTGATGTTTGGAAGAAAATGTTGTGCAACAATAACGGCATACAGGAAATTCTAATTGATCCGGTACTTGAGGTGGTACATGACTTATTATATGTTCCATTATTTCAGTATTAGAGCGCATTATAGCAGTACAGAGAAAACACTAAATTTGATATATTACAACACAACAATGTAACTATGATATATTGATGAAATATCTTTTAGTTAAAACACATTGACTGTCGTCAGGGTTGATCTGTTTCATTACGTTACTTGAATGACTATATTGTTTTGTTACAATAACATATCCTCCTCATATAACACGGTAAATAACGGTTCCTAGAAAGTGTCGTGTTATATGAGACCCAGATATTTCATGATTTTAAGGTAAATTATTTTTTAACCGTATTGTAGTAGAAGGGGGGGGGGGTTCCTGTATTTTATTTTAAAATAGCGTAACTTTAATAAGTAAAATATATCCACATTTGCATGACAGTCAATGTATTAATATAAATGAATGAAATGTACCTTAAAATGTAACAAAGACTTATTCTCTTTTAACAATACATTTTGATCACCTTCCATAGTAGCATAATAACATTGTTGAAGTTGTATTTGTTCAGTTTTATTTTCTCTGTCTTTTTCCTTAATACTTTTCGTATCGGAAGTATTTTTTTTTGCTTCTGGCTCTGGACTAGCCGCTGTAGCTACAACTCTTTTTCTTCCTCTTTTAGGACCAGGTTTTATTAAAGTAGATTCCGTTTGTTTAGCATTGTGAACTGTTGTTCTTTCAGAATTTGTCTGTTGTAGATCCTTATTTATCATTAGTGAATTTAATGGAGTTTGAGTTTGAGGAGGAGGAGGAGGAGGTTTAGTTTTGGAATAAGACCAGTCTTGGAACGGATTAGCCGCAATTTTGGCAAGACGTTCTAGCATAGAATCGCCTAAAAAAAAAAAATCATGAAATAATGAAAATAATGATACGTATATATCTTGATTGATATAAGTTATAATATATGATTAACGTTAATAAATCAGCAATATTTACTAGAGTCTATCTTGGTTTGATCAGATATATGAAGTACAATATTGTCAAATGCACGTGCCGCAGTAGCACTGTACATTTCTCTCCAAACAAGTTCATCCAAGAATTGTTGTATCATTTGTCTACTCAGTAAGCTCAATGTATTTTGAAACATCCTTGGAACTATTTTTCTTAAATATTCCATTATGTGATAATTGCTCATGAAATTTCGAGGATTTTGATCAGAAAATGCTGATTGGGTTACGTTAAGAAAACCAAGTTCTTGTAAAGTACTTTTGTCAACCGTAAAGTCCGTCATAATTCTCGAATCTGTGTGTACCCAATTTTTCAATGGATGAAGAATATTATTAAATCTTCTCTTGTACGATCTTTCTCCATCTTGTACTGGATCACAAGCACGCAATCTTAATTCTAACGTAGTCATATCTAATACACCAAGAACTTCAACTTTCACCTAAGAAAAATATATGCATAGATATAAGGATTTATTTGATTGGAAGAACAAATGTGTATATGTTTTACCTGACGTAAATTTCCATCCTGGGAAGTAGTACCTAAACTGATAACACCTACTTGTATCATTGAATTTTTTCCACCCATCATTCTACTTTTATCCCATATTGCAGCTGTACATACACTACGCAAATTTGTATAAAAATTTTTTACATATATATTGGAAACTTTGACCCAAGAAACTACATTTTGTACATTGGTTTGACATGCCCAATGATAAATAAGTTTTAAAAGTACTGTAGGAGTGTATGGTGCTCCTTGGAAAATAGAACCAGAAAAGATAGAAACAAAGCGATCTGGACAACAATTAGAAATCCACACGTATCCTCCGGAATATGGGAATCTACCTTGATCGCTATACATTCCTAATTTAAGCTTTTCTTTTTGATAATTTGTACTATGTAATATACAATGTTGTTCGGCACGAACTAGACCTTGTTGAATTAACCATTCGGCAAATTTTGTAGCGGAATACATAAGTACACTTTTTACTTTCATATCTGTGAACCATTTTATATATTCGATATCAAATCTCAAACATGAAATATATATATATATTTTATTTGATAGATACCTAGTTCAGATCTTTCCTTCAATGCGACTTGCGGTGCGATATCTTTTGTGCGAAGATTAGGTCTCGCCACAACAACCAATGAAGGAAAAGTTCTACCACCGGTCATTTTATTAAAAGTAAATTCTTTACTATCGGGAAGATTCTTTTTTGTTTCATCAATTTGCTCGGAAACTATCAAATAATACATCATGATAAATATTAATATATGTATTGTTGATTTTTGGTTCAATAATAAATCATGAATTAGTACCTGTATTTTTGATTCCAACCGATATACCACCTATACTAGTCTGTTCGGTAGGTTTGGAATTTAATGTTGTTTGACTTGTTACTTGTGGTTTGTTGACAGTTTTTATTCGGAGATTTGTAACACCTTGCGGAGTAGTAGTAGCTGTGACAATAATATTGATAATAATATATTGATTTTAGAAACATATTTAAAATGTCTTGTATAAAGTCTCTTTGAAGTTACAACTTACTTGAAGATACAACATGAGTCGTAGGGCCACCTTTCGATCGTCCACGAGGAGCAGTTGCAGGAGAAGCTGCGGGTGGAACCGCAGGAGGAGCTGCAGATGGAACTGCAGGAGGTACTGTAGAAGGTACTGTGGAAGGTACTGGAACAGGCTTTAATGAAAAACAAAAAATGAAAATATATTGTCCGTGTTCTTATATAATATTGTAATAACAAAATATACCTACCTCCTCTATAATATCAAGTTGTTGCGATTGTAATTGTAGAACTTTAGTTCGACGTCCGGATCTAGTGTATTTGTACTATAAAAATGAATTGTGTATTTTCATTTTTGTGTATGAAGTTGTTGATATAAAGCGTTACAATATAAATGAATGACAATTAATTGAATGATCTTACATTTTCTGATTGAGGTTGAGCAGACGACACTGAAGTTGACATAGCCGTTGTTGTTGACGTATTGCCTATAACAAAACTTTTTAGGTTGATTATAAATGAATCATGCTTCTTACAATAACCAAATGTTACCTTGTTGAGTAACTTGTCCAAGAATAACTCCTACTCGTGGATCAACGACCAGTTGAATATTCCCTTGGGCACCGTTAGTATTATTTACCATATTAAGTTTTATTGGTTGACCTGTATTTTGATTCTGTAATATATCTATAGATATGTATATACACCTTTTTATGGATTAGTTTTAATATAAATATTAATATTACATTGTACTTACAACATTTAGCAATGGCGGTGGATTCTTTAGAATTGATTGCTGCGTATTAGGAGGGCTAAAGCAACAATTAATTATAAAACATATGAATGAAAATGAAATGTATGATAATGTTAAAATATAAAACAATTGAGATATTGAATATTTACAGTGTATATTGATATCCATTTACGGATCCAGACTGACATACTATTTTCCCTCCATGATCTAAAACTAATTGCTCCAAAGTAGATGCAACCTTAAAAACATCGATCATTTATTTGAGATTAATTAAAAGATGAAGATTCTATCAAGATATATTCGCATAAAGATAGGCAGGCAGGCAGGCTACCTTCTGACAATCTTCTTGTAACTTTTCTCTTTGTTTTAATTGTGATTCGCTCAATGGTTCTTCGACGCATTCCAAATTCAATGTCATATGAAGCGGTCTATTGCTTGAGACCGATTGTGAAGCAGTACGTGACTTTGGCATCTTGTAGTACTTATACTATTTTTCATTAATTTTAATCTTATGAACATTTAATTTAATGTATAGCAACAGTATTGATATATAACAATAACATATGATATATAATATGTCAATATAAAAAGTATACTTACAATCTGTCTCTCTGTCAACCATCAACATAAATTCCATGCAGTTATAAAAATCATTAAGATTCGAAACTGCTTGCAGGATATTGCCAAAATCTTACTGTGTGTTTTAAACAAATACGGCCTTTCTGGCTTCTGTTACAACACCATAAGGATCCATAATTATGCAATTAAGAAATAAAAAGAACTTGTTTATATGCTTCGTCCGTTATAGCACCTTTTTTTTTACCTTTATTCGCGGTTCGTTTAATTTTATATTTTTATATATTTTATTTACTCATTTAATTTGTATCTCTATTTTTATTTCTTATTCAAATAGAATTAAATTTAAATAATTCTTACAGATTTTATTAATATCAATTCCATTGATATAACCGCAATAAAGTTAATGCAACAATTTTCATAGTGTTAAGCCTTTCGTTACTGTTGACTAAAATGGCGGCACATGGGATCTTCGTTGTGTTGTTTATTTCAAGTTATTGGAGAATAAAAAAATCTCTTAAAAAATTGTTTCTGCTTTTTTCCCCTCTTTCTTTTTTCTATCTTCTTAACAAATTATTATTTCGAATAATTTTATTTGTAGAAAATTATTGATCTTAATAAATTTCATTCATATAAATCAAAGAATATAGTATTCTACCTACTATCGCCAACTGGTGGTCGGTCTCGATGTTAACTAAGATGAAATTTTTACGACAACTGTCGGTAAGTCAGGGAAACACAATTTCTATCTTATCGACAACTGTCGGCAAGTCAGGGAAACACAATTTATATTTTATCGACAACTGTCGGTAAGGTATTCATCTTAGTTATCACCGGGACTACCAGGGGGCAATAGTAGATAGGTGTATATATATGCAATACTTTTATGTATTATATTATATGCATACTGTAACAGATAAATCTTATATTAAAACTTAAAACTTTAAAATGATCAAATTGTATATTATTAATTAATGTGATATTACACATACGAAGATGTGTTTTATATAGCAGCCATTATTTTATTCAAATTAAAATAAAGATATTTCATTTTCAAAGTTTATGTTATATATATATATATATATATATATTATGTATTTCAAGCAAAATGTATATTCATGTATACTTAAATATAAATGTTAAAAATACAAATTAGACAGGATTTTAGTACGTTAGAAATTATAATAATAATTAATATTATTATTTAAAAGAAGAGAGAGATAAATGTATAACACTCTTATATTTTTATTTTTTTCCGAGTTATTCACGAGTTTTACGTACGAGTTCCGAGTTATTACGATTACGTTGTTTTGTAATAAATGGTGTTTCAATAATCGTTGAATTAAAAGACGTTAAATTTGTGTTAAGTTTTACTATTGTTTCAGTGTTTCCCGTAAATTTGGAATCGTCTACGTTGAATCGTTTGTCAAGTTTTTCCGAGAACAATATTTGACCATCGTGTTCTTTATCATCATCATCATCATCATCATCATCATCATTACGATTTTTCGCAATATTCGTGGTACGAGATATGAGACGTCGTCTAAATTCGCGATTTCTAAATTTCGCAGTACGGCCGTTATTTTGCGATAAAACGATCGACGATTCGTTCAATAAATGATTTTTATTATCATTTGCCGATGCCAAGGAGTCTGTGCAATTTGGTGGTGGTTCTCTGTGAAGATAAGTTACTGGCCAATGTCTAGCATAATAATTGACGTTGTTGCGATCACCGTTGCCATCGTTAGGATAGCCGCCATGATGTTGACCACCATAGGCATCGTGTTGAATCGGTCGTGAACTTGGTAAGTAAGGATAATACTTCTCACTACATGGTCTCCATTGATCATTGGACAAACCCACGTAACACCTGTTGGATTCAATCATTATTAGGCATTTTTTAACACATAAAACGTTTTTTTCATTTTAAAAACGAATTTGTTCAAATTACCATGGATAATGAAATCCTTGAGAGTAACCACAACGATGACTAGGTTCGCAACAATAATCCCAACTACCAGGTTCTGCTCCTTCTGTTTCACATGACCAAAAACCAACTACATCGTTCTTTTCGCATTTCGTACCCTGTTTACATGGGTAACCGTTGACGGTGTAACGTTGGAAGGTTGCAAAATCAGGAGCTGAACAAAAATCAACGAATATTTTTGCTGTTCAAATAATGTCATTATTTTATTAGTCAATATTTTTAATTTTATATTGAAATTTTATCTTGTAATAAATTAAATTAAACATACTATTAATAGAAATATATTTACATGGTGGGATGATATCATCTTGTCCATAAGATCCATGAAAATGATTATAATCCGTATATCCATGATTATCCCCATAATCGCCTTGACCACCGTAAGGACGATCATTTGGTGGCCTAACAGGGGGATCGGGTCTATCAGGATCGTACGGTCTTAATCCATGATGAAACTGATCGTTAAAAGGTCTAGATACTTCATGTCCATAAATTGGTCTAGGATCAGGAATATAAATTCCATCAGATTGATCAGATCCAGGACCTAAATCGGGTCTAGCTGGTTGTGGTTGCAGTGGTTGTGGTGGTGGTTGAGGAAGAGGTCTTCCAAGACCTGGACTACCAAATACATGATTATCATCTATGGAATATCCTGTGATCATACATTGGGGTTCAAGGTCCTTCCAAGCGTAAAGTACGTGATTGTCGTCGTAAGCATAATCCAATCCTGGTCTTAAATCCCTTATCGATACGTCGCTTAAAAGACAATTTTGATCACCTCTGTCAGCTCGTATTCTATCAATTTGAATTTGCAATAAGATATTCTGATAAACTGATTTGTTAGAAATTAATTTCAAGATGTTATTTACTTGTAACTAAAGGACATGCACGGTGTAGGTTCTTTCTGTCTAATTCTTGAACATTTTTCACGACATTCTGATTCAGAATCAACGTTTACTGCTAGCATTATGGAATATGGTGTAAGTCTACATGGTTTTTGATAACCAGAATAGCACACTGTAAATACAACAAAAATTGGACATGATTGATTTAATATTCTTATTGAAAATAAAATAAAATGAAATTAGTAATAGACTCTAACCATCTTCTCCACGTGTAAATTTGTTTTGTCCTCCAATTTGAAATGGTGGAAATGGATAAGGTTCACAACCACGTCCAAAACTACCTCGTTCGTATAATTCAGCACCATCCAGGTCTGGCATGTTCATTGGATTGATTTCTTGAGTTGGCCAATCGCTAAGATAACAATTTGTAGATGGAATTCGTTCTTGGGGTCCACCTGATCCATATCTTTCGGGAATTTCAAAAGATTTAATATTATTATTAAGTTATTGTTTGATCAATGAAATATTTCACTATTACATATACCTAAAAGTAAAACTTCGACATGTAAATTCTCGAGAAATTGTACATTCCACTTGACACTCTCCAAGATTATTAACATAAATTGATTTCTTAATTACATCTGTTGGCATACCAAAGCCACTTCTTACTCTCCAGAAACATTCTATAAAATAAAACATTCATTTATCTTCTTAATATATATATATATATATATATAAATTACGTGTGTGTCACGTTATTTGTCCGTAATGGACTCCTAAACTACTGAATCGATTTGTATTCTAATAAAATGTTATATTTTAATTACTAGTGTTAAATTGTATTTACCATCGGGTGGATAATGATGATGATTATCATGATGATGATGATGATGATGATTATTATATCGTTGAGTCATCATATCACAAGTTCTAGGATTACCTATTATCGCATAAATATCATAATTCCGATTGGGTTCGATATCTGTGTAAAAATTCAAATCCCTATAAGAGATATCGCTGAGTAAACAATTGTCGGTAGGATCAGTGGCCGCAATGTTGTATCTGAAATAATTCAAATAACAATATTATTTGATTAGTTCGTAATTAAGAAGAAGAACAACATTAGGATTACCTGTAGCCCATAGTCATACAAAGAAATAGTTTTTCATTCAAACAGAGATTCTCGCATTCCTCCAAACTCGGTGTTAAATATGTTTTTCTAATAACACCTCTGATAAGTTTAAAACCAGCACCAGCTCTAACTGTACATCGTTGTTCCTTATTCGTTCCACCGTATAATTGATCTCTGTCAGCAGGTATATAATTATCACCATAACCAAAGGCACCACCGTAATTATAAAATTCACCATAGAAATGATCGTTTTCCTGTGGTCTACCATCGAGTTTTTTCACTTGGGATGGATATTTTGGATCTAATTTAGATACGTCAAAATGACCAACGTAATTTGTATCGTATCCGTACGAACTACCATAAACACCACCATAAGTTGGATTATCTTTTCGACGATCTGATGAATATGATCCGATTTCGTTTGTTCCTACAAAATAGAAGAAATTTATATTTTAAACACATTCCCTGCCCACCATATCTTATGGTGACGTAATAATGACATCATCTCATAAAAATACTTACCTATATCATTATAAGGACCATAATCAACTCTCCTATCAGGATATTTCTGTATGAAATGTCTGTCATTCGGACCATAATAGGAAGGCTTCGAAATGAATGGTCTCCCATAAGAATAACCATTACCACTAAAATTGTTGATAGGTCTTCCATCGGGTGAGGAATGAGTTCTTTGAAAAAATGGGTCAACATTTTTGGATGGTTCGTAGGAACCTTCGTAACTATGTGGTGGTACATTTATTGGTAATCCTGAATGAATTTTTGGATAAAATGATGGTCTTTGATCATAATTATTATCGATGGGTCGTGGAATTTCACTGGGTGGTGGTGGTGGTGGTGGTGGCGGTCTTCGATTAGATCCAAAATGATAAGATCCAGGCCAAGATGATTGTTCTATTGCATCTCGACGACAATTGGAATCTTTTTCATAATAATCACATTGTGGATCTGATAAGAAATCTCGATTAATGTTCAAACGTGAATAAGGTACTGACGTCATCTCGCACATACCACGTAATCCAGGACCTAATCGCCTGTTATTCAAACACACAGACACACACACAAATTCATACAAATATTAATTTCAATTAAATAAATATCCCGGAAAAATGTGTGTGCGAGTAATGGATTAATTTGAGTACATGAAACAGTTTCGAATTATATTAAATGTGCATTCTAATTATACTGTAGAGTATAATATATCTAAAATTGAACAAAGGTTTCAAAATATCTATTTCTAAGATCATAATATATAGCAACGTATGCAATTGTTTACGAATCAAGAAGCGTGTCACACAATGCGCTTGCGATGCGATTAAATGCGATTCCATGATGCAATCAAATAGGTCATGCACTTGTGCATTTGTATTTTTTACGTATGCTTACATACGCGAAAGGTAATTATTGTGGTTAAATGAAACAAATTCTTGTTATTTTGATGATGTTGATTATTAATGAATTACCTGTAATTGAAGCCTTGGCAGATGAAATATTTTTCATAATCGCAGGCTCGATGGCACTCTTCTATTCTTTGACACTCGACAGCTCTTCTTACGTGAATTTGTACAGTTTTTTTGCCGCTCAATAATCTTCGGTAACATGCTACAACAAATTAATCAAATTATTTCATTAATATATATGTATAGGAAAATATGTAAACATAAATAAAGAAATCTTACGCGAACAATTTTCCAAATTTTTCGTTACGTCTTCTATTAAAATGATAGAACTTTGTATTGAATTTCGTATTAATAAGATTAATGGAAAAATGAAAAACAACCACTCTTTATCACATAAATTCATTTTTTTCTTTTTCTTTTCTATACACATACATGTGTTTTTCTGTTTGTTTTTTTCTTCTTTTTTTTATTAAATTTATATAATTAATCGATTATAAATGAAGTTAAAATTAGAACACTCATTATACAACCACGTGAATTGGACACATTTTGCAAATTTTGACTTATATTTTTTACTTTTTTGTTCATTTCTTTCTTTTCTTTAAAAAAAAAAACAAACAAACAAACAATAAAGTAAGACGAATTATATAGAAAATCGTAACATAAAGTAACGGAGAAATTACTAACTCGCATCGTTTTATAGAAAAAGTGAACGTTTCCGTGAGGAAAGTGGGAGGGAACCGTTCGTGGTGTTGAGGGAGGGAGGAGTTTTGGTGTTACATGATCATTAATAATGACTCTACTTACTTATATTATTTTTTTCTCTTTTTTTCTCTTTTTTTCTCTTTTTTTTTCATTTTTTTCTTTTTCATTTCGTTCTTCCGACTAAAAAGAAATGACGTCAGTTTAGAAGGGGGACGGGAATAACGTGTGTGCGTGTCCTCGAAGATTTATCAAGGTCCTTACTTTTAGCATAATTATTTCTGTCAGTTGTGGAACCTCTCTTATTATCGAACATTATATGAATTAAATGAATCAAATTTGATACTTCCGGTCTTGAAAATTCTGCAATTTTTGTTTCCCCAATTTTGTGGTTTGTTTTTTACATATTAGACAAAATTAAAATTGGAAATATCAATAATGGTTATCTGTTTGTTTCTTGTAATCGTGTCACGGCAAATCAGGAATGCACACAATTGCACAAGGGAGAAAAATAAATGGCGAGACGTTACAGGACGTTCGACTTCCGGTTAGCGTGATCCATCACCATGAGACGACGACGCTCTTACTTTCGACTGTCCCTTATTTCTTCAATGCGCTTTCAATTTATTATTTCGAAGTAACATCATTTTCTTTTCTTTGTTTTGTTTGTTTGTTTAGAACACAGGTAAAAGGTAAATCTTTTGTTTAAAAGGGCACCCACTAACTAGTGAAATATTAACGTCCAAAATGACGTATTTACTTAATCAATTTAATTTCTCAAACACACACGTTTTAAATTGCTACTTTTTTTGTTGTATGACATAAAATAAAAGTTAATGATATCGTTGCGATAAGACACGGTGTGTCTGACACCGGAAAACAACGAATGGACATCGACTTAATTGACATACCTAACATTTCGAATCTATGTCATTGCCGTTTACTCAATTGTTCTATCAAAGATTCTCTCGTGAACGCGTTTTTTCTTTTGTTTATTTTGATCAAAGTGAATTTGATTTTACGAATCTCTCAAAAAACAATAACACGCGAGCTTATGTTAACGTGGGAATTTTTATAATATTATTATATCAAAGTATAATGTATTAGGTGGTCGAAAAAGTTCGACAAAGTCGAAATGAAGATAATTTTTGCTTCGTGCAAAATGCCACCTAATATAATATAACAAAATAATATATTAATATAAATCAAATGTATAATTATTATTTATTACTCACATTTAATGTCTTCGTTAACTGGGCTTTGAAATTTCTTGTAATAATCGTTAATGCCAATGTTAAAATCATCATTCGTATTATGAACAAACGGACGAGTTTGATTAAATCGAAATTGTTGAAAATGTCCACTTTGAACAGGTTTCCATCTAGTTGGATTTTGATTGAATCGATTGTAAGGTGAAATTGTACTCGTATGACTTTGATCATTTTTAATAATCATACTATTGTCTTTATCGTTATTATCAAAATCCTTTTTATAATTATCATTTAATCCATGTGCCAAGTTTTTCGTACAATCGTCGTAAATATTAATTACAGGTTTAGACAACATTTCGTAAGGTTTTGGACGAAAATTGTTGACATTTTTATTTTGCCAAATGTTATCGTAAAATGGACGATAAATTAATGGTACTGGATGATATATTCCATCTTTAGTAAATCCTGGATCTTCCAAATGAAACAAATGTTCGTTTACTTTGTTGAAATATATATTTTGTCCAAATTTGTTGTCACCAGTTTGTGAATTTTGCTCAATCGGTAATTTGATTTCGTCGTTTAGAACAAATGTTGGATAATTTTGATTATTGTTAGAGATTTTTGTTTTGCTACCGTAATTCTTGTTTCTTACTATATCTATGATACGTAAATCGTCGTCGAATGATGACGGATATGATTGTTCAATGTTCGGTCTTTTTCCATTATTTTCAGATCTTTAAATAAATAAATAAATATATGAGCTCGTTTAATTTGCAAGTGGCCCAACTCCAATTGTCCTTGTAATCATAGAGATTTTCGCGGGGGGGTGTAGAAATGTCAGTGTAAATTTTACCTGCTAGGTTGATAAATATTAGACAATGACGATCCAAATAAACCACCGGCAAATCTTGAATTCATTCTCGTATTATTTTTTAATCTTTCATTTCCATTGTTTTCAGTTTTATAAAGTCGGTCAGATTCGCAATTGGGTAAACGTTGCGTACGCAAATAAACATCGTAATCAGAATTAGTTTTCCAATTTTCTGGATTTGGTATTTTTGAACTCAACTCACAACTCGTGTTTCCTTTTTGACTAATTCTGCGAAAAAAAAATACAAAAATATATTCCACTTATTATTTATAAAATAGAAACAAACAAAAATATGAAATATTTACCCGAAACTGAAGGCAACACAAGTGTTTCGTCTTTTCGAACATTCATCTTGACAATCGGAAATACTTTCAGCTTTAATAATCAAAGAAATATCTTTGTCCGGTAATTTTGTACCAATTGATACTCTGGTATAACAATCTGAATTTAAATAAACATAATCAAATTATTCTTATTTTGATTAATTGTTTTACTAATGTCACTTACCATTAGCGATGATTACCAATTGATTATCGATAGTAAGATCCTGAAGTTTAGATATTCGTAATAGATTGAAAAATATGACAATAATTAAAATAAATTCTAAATTATGTTTAACATTTCTTCCATGTCTCAACATTTTCTTTCCTTTTTTTTACGAATAGGGAAAAAACCCTTTTCGAAAATAATTTTCCAAATATTTCAATCAATATTTCGTCATTTTAATGAGAAAACTTGTTAAATTTGCAATATCACACAAACATACACGTGCACAATTATGATTGAAATCTGAAAGAAAAATGTGTTGCTTTTAAGAAAGACTTTTTCGAACCAATGATCGATCAGCTTCGAAAGCAAATAACTAAATAAGACTATACTATTCGAAGAGAAAAATCGTCACCTTAACTTTCAAACTTCCTCTCTTTCTCTTTCTATTTTGTTTAATTTATCCAATACAAGACGTTCACCGAGGATGACGAGGTAGCTTAATTAACGGGTCCGTTGTAATTATCATCATTTCAACGCGGTTCATTATACTTTAAAGTAGGAAATAAAATAAGAAGAGAATGGGAAGATGATGATGACGACGATGATGATAATGATGATGACGATGAATAAGAAGACTCGTGCCTTTTTACGATTGACTCACTACTGAGAGCATAGCCTAACTGTATCATTGTCTTATAGAAGAAGGAACAACACTTAAGACTAGAAACCCCTGTTTATTATTATTATTCTTTATCTTCTTCTTCTTCTTCTTCCTCTTCTTCTTCTTCTCTGTTACCTTACATTTGCACGCTTAAAGGAACTCGAGTATATAGATACTTATAGGTATACCAGGTGTTTCAAAAGATTTTAATCATATTTGTCAAGAACGTATATCGAATTAATTTCATAAATATTATATATATATAATAATATGTATATTGTATAAGTATAAATAGTATGTTGTTAAGTAAATCAATATAATATTTAAAATGTGAAATATTTGTATTTATTCGAGATTACTTTTTGGATACGTTGTTAAAGTATGATTTAAACATTTTGGAACATCCTGTATATATACGTTTGTTATGTACTGTAAGAGTTCTGTAATTATAAGTATACTATTCTTCTCTCTTACGTAGGCACGAGTACTTAACTATGAGCAAGTGCAATACTATTCTGCAATTCAGAATTTCATTAACTCGTTCGTTCATTCGTTCATCCGTTTGATCATCTGCAATATAGTAATAGTATTGTTAGTAGTAACTTTACAAAACTGTATATATTTGATATATACACTGTATATTTGATATACACATTGTATATGTTAATAGAAACAACAAATATATATTACACAATATAATTCCTTTTTTTAATTACTATTTGTCTTATTACGTTGATATAGTCAAGAACTTGCCTAAGCTAATTTTCTTGTGTCCTGGGCATGTCGAGGTAGGGCATTTTAAATGAGTTGCACCTTAAATGCCATTGAAAATAATAACAAAAAACAAAAGAAAAGGGAAAATTAAATTTAAACAAAAAATATTCCTTTGATTACGTAGTACATAATTGAAAGTAAAAAAGCTTTTTGAGATTACAGTTAATTTCGAAATTCTCTCTCTCTTTCTTTCTAATGTTAAAGTCCATTGTACTCGTAAAACGTTAGACACTGTCGTCTCATTTGAAAATTACTTGGTATGTTAATTGATGAGTTACCTTGACTATTACACGCTAGCTAAAATGATCTCGCTAGCTTGCAATTATCTAAACACTTTCCTTCGCGGAAAAAACAATTATGTTAACTATTGTCTGCTTCGATTATGCTTCTTTCCCTTCTTTTTTTCTTTTTCTTTATTATTTTTTATTATGTAATTTTAATATAATAATACAGTATACCAATATATTAGGGTGAACCAAAAGTTTCTAGGTTTCTAAATTAATATTTCACTTATGAATATGCACATTTGTATTTATATATATATATATATATATATATATATATATATATATTAAAGTAATTGTATTGATTTTAAAATCTTTCTTCTTTACCCTAATAAATTCATATACAAACGTATTCTTGTATATGAATGTTAAGTTTATAATTTATCTATATAATCAAATCTATTATATTAAATCGAATCGAACGGTACTATTATCTACTAAATGAGAAATGAAAAAACATATATACATATGTGTGTGTATATATACTTGTATTAGTATTTATACGAAGAGATACCAAATCTTGACAATTTGTATATTAATGACTGCTACAGCTATTTCGCATTGGCGTAAGCATCAAAGAAATCTATTTAATTTACTTTTATTGTTTAGAAATCAATACAAGAGGACAATGTTAAACATTAGATTTCTTTTCTAATTTAACTAGTTTTCAAAGAAGTCAAGTACCAATAGTCCTAGATGCATAGTTAACGAAGACCTTACATAATGAAAATGAGATGAGTTACTACACGTAAACAAAGCTGGGACGTTACGGTCTGTGAAACTTGACTTGAAGTGAGAATGACTCATTGTGTGATCATCCTTTTCTTTCTAATACTAATACACACGTATACATGCACACATGCACACACATACATTCAAGGAATACATTTAAAGTAATGATAAATATAATATTTATATCGTTAAATAAATATTTTGTTTCTGTTTGATACTGGGTAAGAATTGAGGTTTGAAATTACAGTTGTATTTATTTATACAATATTAATAATAATTGAATAAACCAAAAGTTTTTAAGCATTTTAAATTGATATTTTACTTGCATATAAAGTAATTATATTGACTTTAAAAAATTGCATCATCCAATCGGAAAAATGAAACTATTTTTGATTTTTTATTCTTATTAACTTTCTTTTTGGTAAAAATTTATAATAATTATTGTCTATCGTGACTTTTATACCATAGTTGTTGCATTAGTTGTTAGTTTGACCATTAGTAGCGTTGCATTTGAATATCATTGTGATTCTTCCAGCGACCACTACGTGCCGCATTTTTCTCGCAATCGTTTTCCTTCACGAAAATATTTATTAAACCGAAATTAATTTGTTCCATATTGCTTCTCAGCTCCCTGAGCTAAGGTCTAAGTAAAGTAAACTTCCAAAGAAATGCACAACAATTGTATTAAATGCGTTAATATTGCCCAAAATGCAAAGTAATGTGAAATTTATTATATTGGACATAATCTTAAGCTTAAAAAAACAAAACAAAGTAATTTTGCTGTATGTGAAAAATCATATACTATTTGAAATCAACGAAATTAAGTATAATATTACTAAACAAAGCCCCTTTTCTAAATATGCTGGAATTAAATAACAAAAAATAAAATATACATATTCTATCAATCTACACAAGCACACAGAGAAGAAGAAAGATTAAATTGTGTTTTTGAAATAATCTTAAATATATTTTATAACAAATATATATTACGTATATTTTCTTCTTATTAAAATAAATATATATGTGTTTGGGTTATCAGGAAAAAAGTTCGTGCCGATTTTGATGGAAGATTGAAACGCAACCCACTTAAGTTATTTTTGGTATATATTTATTAAATTTTATATAAGTGTGTCCATTCTATTCCACAACCACTTTCCACCATCTTTGTAGGTAATTTAAAAATTGCGTCCTTTCAGAACTACCTCAGATTTTTCAGCAAAAAAAACTTTATTCCACCTACTGAAAATTCGACACGAACTTTCCGGATAACCCAATACAAAATACAATTGTAATTAAAAAGAAAAAATGAACACAACAAATTAACAAATTTTAAAGTTTTCCAAGTAGAGTCCTTGTGTGTAGGCAAAATTACAGTAGTACCATCATAAGTAAATTTATGTTATATACAATATATCTAAACAATTTTATAGAAAGAACACTTTTTAAATTAAATGTAATTAGTCTTTTATCGAGAAAATAAGTTAGATCGTTGTTTGAATACTGTTATTGCGTCATATACTAATAAATAATTTATTATTATTGAAATTCTATATAGAAAGCCATTGATTTTGTATGATATATATTTAATATTTGTGTTTAGAAATGCTAATAAAATTCAGTCTCTAGTTTAAGAACATTAATATATGCATTTCTAACAATTTCAATGGCTTAACATACTTTTGGTATTATTCGTGTTAAATTTGTATTATGTTCTATACATTATTGTAATTGAATAATATAATTGACGATTGTGATGATTTGTTAATCTAAAGTAATTATTCGTTGAAATGTAAGATTAAAATATCTACATCAAATGTACAATAATATTGTATACATCTATCAATTGTTTTATTCTTATAGTTGATCTTTTTTCATTGTTACTTAAAAATTAAGAAATTGAAAAAAAAAAATAATAATAATAATAGTATATAATTAAAGTAGCAAACACAATATTAGGCGTTTGCAGTTAATAAATTTCTTTCTTATCAGTCAAGGAAAAATTGTTATTAAACCTATTTAATTAGAATTACACTAACAAAGTAAAAGACATGTTATTGCTAACTTTGGGAAGACTATAATGAATCACATATTGTTTATTAAATGAATGTTGTTTCAATAGAGTATCTTTTTTTGAAAAATTCAAATATAAAAAGAAATATTAATAAAGATCAACAACAAGTATCAATTTAGTTATGCATTCCAAGAGCCATGTTTAGTATTTTAAACTCTTATACAGTGATTAACGAACATGTAAATAATAATGACGTTATTGTTTTATCTTATGGAAGACATTCCTTATACGATGTTTCTTTAATTTTGAAGACGTAGTATTATGTGATATTGTTGATCGATCAACAACAAGTATGATTCTTTTCGTATGTTCCAAGAGCAATGCTAGTATCTTCTGCGCTTTCTTCCGAAGGTGACAAAACTATGCCAGAACTGGTTAATATAGAACTACTAGAATCAGTGATCCTTAACGATGTAACAATTTCACTACTACCAGATGATAATCTGACAAGTCCATTCGCTATTGTCATAAATATATTTTCAATACCTTCGTTATAAGGTACTGATGTTTCATGATAACTAGCACCTATTTTAGTCGCATAAGTTCTACCTTCTTCTGCATCAACTTGTCGATCTTTGAAAAGATCTGATTTGTTACCGATCACTGCTAATATCATTTGTTCTTCTACGTTTCTCTTCAATTCCATAACCCAAGTTTTAATACCTGCGAAACTGCTGTATTGAGTCAAATCGAATACCAACATGGCAGCATTGGCATTACGGTAATACATCGGTGCCATTGACCTGAATCTTTCTTCTCCAGCTGTGTCCCATACCTAAAAAGTTGAATTTCAGTTATATATATTTTCTAAGTCTTTTCAAATAACGAACATTCAAAGATTAAAAGGTTATCAGGTCAAATATATAGTGATAATGATAGGAACATTTTATTATATCATCTTCATATCGGATTGCTCAAAAATATCTCAAATGTTTATCAGTATACAAAATAATTGATAATGTTATTTTGTTTACATGAACAATTCCACCATAAAAACATTAATTATTAATTAATTAATACTTTTGCAAATTATCTTACCTGTAATTTTATTTTCGTATCAGCTATATTTAATCTGCAAGTAAAAAAGGAAGCTCCTATTGTTGGACTGACATGACGATGAATGGCATTTTCAACATATCTCACTATTATACTAGTCTTTCCAACACCTACAAATAAATATTAGTTATTACACGTTATGTTCTTAATGGCATTGTTTACACGTGAATTCAAAACTAACCTCAAAGAAAGAGAATTGAAATGAGATACGTATGACGAAATTTTTCATAAAAATAAATCAAGTTTTTTAAAATTATACATTTGATTCCTAACCTATACAACATAATGAAATAACTAAACGTATACATACATGTGCATACAAAACGAGCACATACTGATAAGATTACATTATTAATTAATGGCGTATTTTAAAATAATGATAAAATAATTTATAAATTAATAACGTCGTCTGTTATGTATATATATATATATATGTATTTTCATTGTAAACGACTTACCTTGTGAACCCAGGACAACTACTTTGCCTTCTATATTTTTCATATTTAATATTAAATCACATAATAGAACGTTGTAAACAAAAACGAAAAAGAAAAAGTGAACACACTATTATTTTCTATTTTCTTCAAGCACGTTCCTTGTCACAGTCACTTGAGCTGGCAAGAAAAGTTTAACATGTTTTGACGTTTCTTAGTATTAACCTTCCTTATTATGGCATTTGTGTTTGCAGTTAGTCGATAATGCAGAAATCAATGGTGGCGCTAGTGTATCAAATATGAAACTAGAAAAGACATTTTTATCATTTATTTTATGCACTGTTGATAACTGATCGATGTTAGATAACAGTCTTATCGACATTTGGAATTTGACAAATTGCAATTTTGTAAAAACTTCTTTTTATCAATAATATAAATTTGTGAATTCATTAATTATTAAAAATTAACAATAATATAAAATAATTGTATAAGAAAATATAATTATATTTAATTGTTTGCAATTGTTGATTTAACTTAAAATATTATACGTTTGAATGAATAAAAGTTTTGTGATAAAAAAAAAACAAATGAAAAGGAAGATTATGAAATAAATAATAAAATAAAGGATAAAGGAAAAGAAGAGCAAGGTAAAAAGTAAATAAATAAGAGAATATATACTTGTACGTATCATAGATCGGATTAAATTGCATTATCGAAAAAGATAGGTAGGCAGTCAGCACACAATAATGTATGTTGCCCTCGAGGCTGAGTCGAACACGATCGGTTCGAGTGAAATGAACCGTTCTCTAGGTACTTTCCTGAATTTTTATAAGCTCAAACCTACGGCTTCAGCCAATCTGACTTTGTTCTTAACTTTGTTCGATAGAACTAATACGATTGGATTTGAAATTACGAGGAGGGGGATGTGTAGGAAGAAGGCATCGTTAATAGTAATAAAAATTGAACAAGTTCCAAGGCCTTTTTCTCATTCATTTTCTTTTTTTAAATAGAGAACTTAAGAAAGATTAAAATAACTTATATATATATATATATTTGTATTCTTTTTTTGTGACAAATTTCGTCAATTCCAATTGATAAAAATAAAATGAGAGAGAAAGAATAAAATAGGCGTCTAAATAGAAAAGAGAATGGGGTGGTTGGTGAAAGTGGCGGTGAAAAGGGGAGTGGTTGGTGGCGAAATAGGGGTTGGCAAATGCTAGTGGGAGAAACCAAGCCAGTAATCTCCTCACTGAGTTCCACTTGTGCGTAATTTATTACGACTTCTCGAGAGTATCGTAAGTACTTTAAGTACAGGGTTGAGAGAGAATTTCATTTTGTTACGAACTTGCATTTACCAGGACGTATTTTACCTACTATCTTCTTTTTTTTTTTTACCAATTTAATCGTCCCAACTAACAGATTTTAACGATTCTGCTAACTACTAAATAACCATAATAGTTATCTATCTATATATATATATATATTATAAAACCATCCTATATTCCAAGTTGGAAAAAATAATCAAAGCAAAAATGTGACACTGAATTTTTATATATAAAGATTATTTATCTGTTAATACTAAATAATTATAATAATGATTTATTATTATTAATAATATATAGAAAAATACACAGAGAAGAATTTCGAATTTTTCAACAATTTTCTATTAAAATCGATAAAAATTTGATTATTTTAACCATTAGTAGGATGATGAATCCCTGAGAGGAAAGAGCACGTATTATAGTAAAAGGGGTGAGGGATGATCAACAATGGCTGCACGACCTCAGGAGGTTCCACCGTTCTAACGTTCTCTGTTCCTCGACGCCATTTTACGTTGATTACGATGCGGTTAAGCTCCTTCCAGTTCTCTCTGCAACCCCCTTCTTCCTTTTACACCACCCCAAAGCCACTCACGTCTCTTGGCCCGTCTACGGAATGCTTGGGGTTTTACCCCACTACAACTACCACCACCCTTTCCTTCTGCAGCACCTCCCCTCTCATCCCTGGCTCTACTGTTTCTCCTCCTTTTCCCTTTCTTCGCACTTCTACACACAATCAACTCGACCAACACACAATGTATATATATATATATATATACATATCATCCCATCCACCCCACTTAGGTTCTCTTATGTTAGCTAGGTTACCACCGTGCTTATCGGTGTATCACGACGCGCAAGAAGGGAACGTGATATAGTTGAAGATACTCCGACAACGACAACGACGAGTTCAACCTACTTCTTTTTATTCTTTTTTTTTTTTGTTTTTCTGTTTTTTCATCCCTCACCCCCTCCCAACGCCCCCGACCACGTCTTCTTGTTACTACACTACGAGTATACTTTTTCCGATTTGTCTTTTCAATCGACGATGTCTATCCATTAGGCGATGAGAAACTATAAATATCAGTTCCATTAAGATTTCAGATATCAAGGGAAAATCGTTGCTATATACATTTCTTATTATATTAGGTCGTCATGAAAATTGTTTTGCTATTTCTTCATTATAAGTTGTACAATATTGTATGAGTTATATATTTTTAATTTTATGTTATTGTAATATTGTGCGCATAAAATTACTCAAAGAAAAAAACAAGTTAATACTTCAAAGTTCTAATCTAAAATGCAGCTTCTGAAGCTAATAAACATCAATCAAATAATCAATGAAACAATCAATCTCTCTCTTTCTTTTTCTTTTTTTAGAGAACTAGTAAACGTTTGATGGTTGAAGGAGGGAGAAGATGATACTAAAAGAGGTGGACGTAACGTGACGAACGTCGCCTGAAAGCTCGTCGAAAAGCTCGTCGAGAAGCTCGTTGAAAATCTCCTTGGTCCATTCTCCTTCCCCCTTGGTCCCTTTAGCTAGCTAGACTACGTCGTTGAAGTTGATTGTCGTAGATCTTATTATCCCCACTTGTTCTAAGGAGGACCAGACTATGGGGCCATACTAACATTGCTCTCTTTCCCTCTCTCTCTCTCTCTCTATATATATATAGTATGCGTGTATGTGTGTATGTGTGTACAAAAGAGAAAGCAAAAACTCACGTGCACGTATACTTAGGTTGATAAGAAGAAGAGTTTGAGGGTGCCAAACATCATCCTTCCCTTCCTCTTCTCAGCCCATCAGCCCCCAGGCTAATCTTGTTAGCGCTAATGACGAACTCTGGCCGCGAAATGTTGCGCGAATCAAAAAACTAGAGACGTACGATCTTTCGTTATTTTTTTTTTTTTTATAATATGTGTTAACCTTTTTATTTATTTTTCCCTATAATCTAACATAATAATAAAGGATTTGAATACTTTGTACAAAAAGTTATCCCATAAAAGTTATTATAATATGTAGATGTTGTATTGTGAAATTTTGCGGAATAATGGGCCACCTTGTATTTATACAAGAGAAAGACAGTTATACGTAGAAATAGAGAAAATTGAGACAGGGAGAGAGAGAGAAGGAAGAAAGTTGTTCCCAGGTTTGCGTGAGAGATGGTGCTCCCCGTTAGAGCCCGAAAATCCATTAGACCGGAAAACGAGGTAGAATCGTAGAACGCAATGGCGTCTAGAAACAAACGACGGCCGATAGGAGTGAACAAGCAGTGAATCACCCAAGCACTTGTTTACCAAGAGAATCAGGAATTCAGAGATGCCGTTCCACGTCCTCGGAATACTCTCCCAGCCCCATCGCTTTTCTACCCCCCCAAGCTTTTCCCCTAACCTCTCCTATCCTTCTTCCACCACTACCACTACAACCAACACCAACACCATTATGAGATCTCCAACAGCCCTGTTTCCTTGCTTGCTTGCTTGCTTGCTTGCTTGCTTGCCTTCCTGGTAAGCGAGAAGGAGTGGAAAAGCTGAGGGGTAGGATGAGGGGTAGGATGAGGGGTAGGATGAGGGGTAGGATGAGGAAGAAGATAAAGGAGGGGGATGGGAAACGATCGCGTTAGGTGGAGAGAAAAAGAGAGATAGAACTATAAGGGGTATAAACGCAAGCAGACACGGAAGCGGCACTAGAATCGCTAAATGTAATTCGGTTAAAAGGGTTTTAGCAATACAATGCATATAAACATGAGTGTTCCACCTCCGTGGTTCTTCGTCTCTACGTTTAGCTTCTCATTCTATTTTTCTATCTTTCTTTTCTATCTTGCTTTATTTTATTTTCGTCATTTCCTCCTTTTTCTCGCTTCTTCTCGTTCTTAGAATCGTTTTCTTTGATACAATCGTGACTCTTGTCTTTTTTTTTTTTTTTAGTTAATCTTAACTGCAATTTAATATTGTTTATTTAAATAGAAAATATAGGTATCATTCTAGAATATGTTGTGTTATTATAAGTTAATATATAAAGGATGGTTACCTGTATAACAAACAATATTTTATTTACAAATCGAATATTTCAAATCTGTGTCGTCAAATAAAAATGAAGATGAATTTGTGGAAATTTAGAAAAAAATAAAGGATCATTTTTTTTTCAAATCGAATAACGAAATAGTCACGTAAAAGTGATCAAAAAGGAAAAAAAAAAATGTAAAAAAAAGGGAATTGCAGTGAATCGAAGCATTGTGAAATCCGTGCGGCGGCGAAGAACAGTTGGAGCGTTTTACTCGGCGTGATTATTTGCAAGGAAAAATTCAGGATTGCTTGGCAGTAGTATTTAGGTAGGACGATTTCTATAAAACGAGTCTTGGCACTTGGCCATATCCACGTTTACGTGCTGGAAAAATAAAATGGCCGAACGACAGAGTACTTTTCATCCTTGTAACTTTAACGATTTCTTTAAATTAACATAAAGGCCAATCTTCTCTTTTCTACTATTTCAAATCGTTCTACATTCTTTTCAAATCTTTTCCATTTTTTATATTAACTCTTATTTTTCAAACAAAATTTCAAAAATAAATAATCCTTATGAAATATTAGTTAATCAATATCTTCTTGAAATAAGAATCTATTTCTATGAAAAATATGAATAAATTATTATTATTATAATTTAATAAATTATCTTTCTTCCCCTTTTATCAATAGTAATTAGGGTGAATCGAAAAAGTTTGGGGTGCGGGGTTTTATTTTTAAAATTAATATTTGTAAAGTAAATATTCCCCAAAAAAGAAAAAAAGAACAATCATCCATTAGTTTATAAGACAATTGATAATATAATAAAGGTAGAAAATGTTGGATTCATCCTAATATCTATTTATCTCTTTATCGAGGTGAATAGTGAAACACACACGAGACATGAAGACTATGACATTGAGAGTTAGGCGTTCGTCAAATATGACTTTTCCTTCTCGTTTGTTCGTTCGTTCGTTCGTTCGTTCGTTCGTTCCATTCCGTTCGTTGACGTTTTCCGAATGAGTGGGTTTTACCGCTCGGTGAACGCGTCATCCATCCAGCCATCCGCGGAATGTCGCGGAATTCGTAACTGGGAATTAGCATGTCATAAATTCTGATGGAGGGGGCGGGGTCTCGCGAGATTCTCATGTTCACCACCATCTCTCTCTTTCTCTCTCTATCTATTTCCACCGAATTTATCTCTCTCTTTCTCTCTCTCTCTCTCTTTTTTTTTCTTTTTCTTTCATTATATACACACACCTTTTCAACAATTCCACATATAACCGGTTTTTTTCGCAAAATCACTGCTTCATCTAGAAAAACGTTTGCTTATGTTTTTTTTTACTTCAAAAAGAGATACAATTATTTTCATTTAAAAAACGTTATATATATATATATATATATATATAAACCACAAATTTTGATTATCCGTTCCTATTTGCTGAAAATAAAATTGTTATATAATATTAAATATCAATATCTAATGATAATTTTAAATAAAGTGCAAAATCTTATTTTATTGTGCCCCTGTAGATATGCAATCTTGTTTAAAGAACATGGTTGCTTCGTCTTCAGATGTATAACCTAAAATATTTTCAATTTCTATGCAATATAAAATATTTTAATTAAAGAAATACAAATAATAAAACTATAATAGTTTAGGTTAATGTACGTTTTGTAAATATGCAACGTTAACTAAAAGGATTTAAATATATATGTGTAGAGGTTATGCATTATTTCATTTATTTGACTTGGATAGCATAGCATTTTTTTCTTTTTGTAATAATGACGTATTTATCCGGTAATTTTTTCATAATATTTTATTTAGGAACTTCACGCGATATTACATCGGATTACTCTAGCATCTCTCGCATTTTCTATTTTTTTTTTATACGATAAACGATTAATATTTACACTCACACACGTCGTATATCATAAATACCCATGCGCTCATCTTTTCATTTGCCTTTTTTTTTTCTTTTATTTATATTTATTTTTATTCCATTTTTTTTTTTTTGATTTTTTGATTTTGTATATTTCATTTTATAATATATATATGTGGGGGGTTGGAGCAGGGGCGAGGGGAATATTATTGAAATAAATTTGATACTCGGATAAATGTAATCCTTTCGTATATGTGCCCTACATACATATCATCTAATTCTTTCTTTCTCTCACACACACATACAACACATTACTTTCATTCCATTTTTTTTATACATCTTACATCGACAATTATCATTCCGTTTAACAATTTTATAGATAATAATGTCTATCTTACAAGCCGAACGAACACACAATAATAAATAATCTCTAAAACAATATTGTTTCATTTTTATTATTTGTTCTTTTTTATTTTTTTATTTACAGAATAATATTATATAATGGGGGAATTTTCTTTTCGCACTCGGCACGACATACAGGTAAAATATGAAATTATTATTATTATTGTTACTATTATTCTTGTGTTAAAATAGAAAAAAGAAACAAAACAATACTCACACGAAATAAAATAATTAAAATAAATTAACGTTACTTATTTCATATTAAAGTGCATAGATTTACCTTTTTTTTTGTTTTCGTTGAAATATTAACAAACATTTACAAAATCCCGTGTGTAAAAACGAATGAAATCTTTTTTTTTCGTTTTCTTTTTCTTCTGAAAATGAACGAATGAAATTTACAGAAAATTTAAACGACGTAAGGACGATAAAGTGGTTCCTGAAGTTCTGTTGAAGTTCTCTGAGTTTCTTGTAAAGTTCCTCTGGATTCTTCCGGTGTGCAAGGTGCTGTCACCGATACGTCACTTCCGGTATTATCTCTTTCAGAATTTTTCGTATTACTGGCATCATCGAGTTTTCCACTGGCACGTGCTTCCTGTTGTGCTTTCTTACTTCTTTTCCATTTCATTCGTCGATTTTGGAACCAGATCTTCACCTGAAATGCATAATAAAGAAAAAAAAACATTTTTTTTTCGTTTCGTTTATTTGACACTTTTATTTTTATTTAAGTTTGAAAAATTTTCTATAACTTTACGCGTTTTTTTTAAATATATTTTTTCTATAATACATCGCGTTATCGATTTCCAAGTAATTAAAAAAAGATAAAACTTCGAGCTTAAGATAAAAGTTATAAGCGAAATCGTCGATGTTTTATTATTTTTTTTTACCTTTTTTTTTTCTTTTTCAAGAGGACACACATACAACAACTTCCTTATCTCATTTTCGAGTTAATTTTCAAATATTCGGCGAGATAAAATTGCTACAACACGCGAAACACGCGCGAGTTTTGTGTTCTCTTTATATACCACGTCATTTTTTCGACCAATTACGAAAAAGGATGGATTGGATTATCGCTAATTAGTCTTAATACCTTATTTCCGATCAAATGATTTTCGAATACATACGCAAATGATATTACATTACGCATACACACATACATATATCGATAAAAATTCGTTAAAATGACGAAATTAAATTGATTCCAAAATCATTCTAAATTTTATAATAATTCATTTGTTTATTTCAAATAAAATACAATTATTATAATATATTTATAAAAGTATATTTATAATGTGTGTATAGTATATGTATATAGATATAATAAAAGTTATATTGAACGACAAGAGATCGTAAATCAAGCAGAGTAAGGATAGGGTAGGTTCGATGTACTTTTTTCTTTTTTTTTCTATCCGAGCCCCTCCCGAAAATCGTAAGAAAGTGATGTAAATCTTACGGACAACATATCATGCTCCCGGTGGTAGCTTTCTTTCAACCCCTCGGAAAAAGAAACTCACGAGAATTTCGTGCTCGTACGAATACGAATGGGAGTATTCAACCCTGTAGTAGAAAATTTCTTCAATCTCCAAATTTACCAATTTCAACATTTTATTACGAATAACATTCATGTTTTTCATTTCGTATATATGTGTGTGTATATCAAACGTTTTCTTCGTGAAAATTAACATTATTATTATTATAGACAAACTTTGGAGTGAGTGATTTCGATTTTCGAGTGAGAGTTGAGGTAAATACCTTGAGGTAAATGTGTCTCTTTTTATTTATAACTTCAATAAGAATGATAGAAAGTGTGTGTGTGTCTGTGTGCGAGAGAGAGAGAGAGAAAAAGCGAGGAATAATAATAAGTAAGAATAAAAGAACGTTTAACCTACGTGTAGGTAAGACCTACACGTAACTATGTGTGTATGTGTATAATACTAGAGTATAACCGAAGTCGGAAACAAAACAAAGGCTGCCGAGCGTTCGACACTCTCAAGGATAAATACTAACGTATGTCAATCACTTTCCGTCTTTCGATCCGTCAACATCGGCAAAATCTAATACACGTTAAATTATTCAATAATTTTATTACTAACGTTATAATAATCAATTTAATATCATAGGAAGTTTTTTATTATTAATTATAGTTAAAAAATTGATAGACTTGTTAGATTACACTACATTGAATTTATTGCAATAGTTATTATTTCATTTAAACAATTTTAAAGATTAGAATTAACAATTTTTAGTAACGTTATATACTTTTTTATGGAATTTTATGCAAGTAGTTGCACTTATGCAATTGATATTGCTTGACTTTGTCTCTTATAATATAAAACAAGTTTTTTATTATTAATTATAGTTAAAAAATTGATAGACTTGTTAGATTATACTACATTGAGTTTATTGCAATAGTTATTATTTTATTTAAACAACTTTAAAGATTAGTATTAACAATTTTTAATAACCTTATATACTTTTTTATGGAATTTTATGCAAGTAGTTACACTTATGCAATTAATTCTGATTGAATTTTTATATTATAATATAAACCAAGCACTATCAAAGAAATAGTTGCATACTTTGATACATTTAATAAATATTTCGTAACTTTTATTTTGAATTAAATCTTTTGACGTTTTTATTTGATAAGAACACTAATCATATGCAATTTTTCCAATCGTTTTTTGACGTGTAGTGCGGTTGTTAAACACGTCCCGGTTCCGGTCGCGTTCCTCTTCGTGATGAAAAACTTTTCTATAATTTTTTCATCTACTTTCATCGTCATCCTAAGGGTAGGAGACCCATCGGGCATTCATCATTGAAGATTAAAAGTAAGTAGAATTTTTCTATATCAAACATCTCTATGGTAATTTGAATGATTTGTTTTATTACGATGATGATATTAATTGTTCTTTTCCTTTTTCTGTTTCAGAATATCATTGCAATCGTGCGTGTTGGCAATGAAGTGATCGTGTGTTTGCATCGTTTAACAAAATCGCGAATTAGAGTCAGTGTTTTTTCGCCGAATGTACAAATTTCGATTTTTTTCGGATTAAGAAACTCCGAAAGTTTCTTATATTCGGTTTAAACGTGTGCTCGTCGTCATCTTAAGGGTAGGACACCCATCGTGCATTCATCCTTCAAGATAAAAGGTAAATTAATCTTTATATTAAACATTTTTTTAATCATTAATTATAATTTTGAAATGATAACAATGATTCTAATCAGTTTGCATTTTTCTCTTGTTTCAGTGATAGTGTCTGATATTACTGCGTCCGAAGCAGTTGCAAAATTAGAGTCAGTGTTTGTGTACGAATTATTAAAAAAGAAAATCTAATCGCGAATTAGAGTCAGTGTCGTGGTCGTGATATGAAATTCGAAAGTTTCTTATATTCGGATTTAAACGTGTGCTCATCGTCATCCTAAGGGTAGGAGACCCATCGTGCATTCATCGTACATTCATCAAAGTGAGTATATTTTTGTATTAAATAATTCCTCAAAAGTTTTAATGCTTTTCTGTAATAGTAATGATATTAATAGTATTGTTTTTTATTTCTGTTTCAGATTGCAATCGTGCGCGAAGCAATGTACGGGAGTGTTTATGGTGTTATCATCAAACTGCGTGCAAAGCAGTTTTTGAATTAGTTGTAGAATCAGTGATCGGCCGAGTAATAAATTCTAATCAAACGCGAATTATAGAGTCAGTGTTGTTCGTCGTATAATAAAATGTCGGTTTCGCGATAAGAAACTCATCTATAGTTTCTTATTTTCGTTGATATCGCGTTTTTAGATTCACGCGAGGTGCATCACCATGGTGCAATAGAGCTGCATCTCATTGGAATGCACTGTAAGTATTCATTTGTATTTACATTTTATTCGATTTTATTTTATATAATTTTGAATAATAATATTCCAGATAACAACTTATCGTTTTGTTCTATTTGATTTTACAGATATAACCATGGATTCTCTTCCTTCTCAAAGATGTTGGATGAATTCTTCGATGGATCTTCGATGGATTGACAGATTGCAATACTTGCTACGAAGTAGGAGTGTTTTGGAGCCATCGCAGAACTTCTAATGCTAACTGTTCATATTTCGTATATGCGTCATTTTAATCTTCAAATGTCACATGTATGGGATATAACGGTTGGTAATGAGTGAGTGAAAAATTTTAAGTCCCTCCGGTGCTCAATCATGCCAAGGATGAAAGGTCCTAATCGGCACGAGTTACTGGTTGTAATTATTTCAAGAAATTTTGTATTGTATGTTTTATTATTAGTTCAAGAGATAGGTTTTCTTGTCTCATCGGTTAAATTCATTTAATTAATAATGCAAACTATCGTTTAAATTCTCACTCACTCAAAAGTGTAAACAACACATCGTGATGTTTCAATTTCAAATTACAAATTAATATTTCAACGATACGATCTTTTTATTTTCTATTGATCATTGGGATATGGATCTTAATAGATTATGAAAACGGGTACTTTTTTGTAATCACTAATAGATCGTCTTGATTATTTCAATTGATAAGTTAATCACGCGTAATCCTATAATCATCTTTCCTGTTATTAGAAAAAGACAAATATTAAATTAATAATAATACTATTAATTATACTTTATCTTGTTGTTTTTTAAACGTTAGAATTTGTATAATATACAGTGGGTACAGAAAGTATTCATACTTTTTATATGATAATTTTAAAATAAAATGTTACAAATACACTGACGAGGTGAATTATAACTAACAAAAAAATACAGGATGTTTTTTACATTATCGTTTAAAACTCTTTGATAAATAGTTGAAAATAAGAACTGTATGAATACTTAGTGCTCATTGGTAGTGAGATAGGGGGTTGAATGAAGGGGGTGAGGAGATACCAATCTTCTCGACGACGTTCGAAGGTTTTGCGCGAAAGTGGAGGGATGGAGAGAAGTGTAAAGTGTAGAAGAATCGGTAAAATATCGAAACAAATCAGGGACTGAGCCCTTTGGGCTATAACTCAGACTTTCTTCGCTGTTTGCCTAGCGATCCGTCAGCTCTCGTAAGCTTCGGAGTTATGTTTAAGTTGTGTTGAACTAAGCGAGAGATTCGCGTGTACGCCAGAAGAAGAAGAAGAAGAAGAAGAAGAAGAGTAGGAGGAGGAGGAGAAAGAGGAGGAGGAGGAGGAGGATTGGGCTCTACGAATGAATGAACGAATGGCAGGGGATGGGATTATTCCATGGGATTTCCCTCAAGGGTCCTTTTTCCATCCTCCCCTCTCTATCTCTCTTTCTCCTACTCTTTCGTCCTGGTTCTGTTTCCTCATCGTTTGGCATTGACGTCGCACGAATTTCCATATTCCCTCTGTATTTACAGGGCAACGTTCAACCGTCGCTCAATCTTCCATACTTGGTCAATATCGTAAGAAAGGAAGTATAGTTAAACCTATTTTTTTTTTTCTTACTCAATGTAAAAATCGAAAACGATTTATCATCGTAAAGAAAAATGACCCCACAAATATCTGTTATTAAATATCATCGATATTATTGGATTGTTCGGAGAGTAATTTCGTTTTTTCCTAACACAATTTTGAAATTAGTTGATGCAAATCGGCAAAAAACAACACGTGAGATCAGTGAGAGGTTACATTTATCAAATTTAACTGTTTATGGCCCCTTGAAAGGCCTAGGTTTAAACTCGAAACGAAAATTGTCTAACTTTTCACGAAAAAAAAAAAACGAAATTACTTTACGAGCAACCCAATATATAGACAATAATAATTTTATTAAGTTTAATATTTGTCCATTCTCGTGAAAATGAAGAAAAGAAAAAAATAATTAATGAAATCCGTTAAAAGCAATTATTATTGATTTACAGATAACATAACAATGGTAAATATATTAGATATAAATAGTATAAATAGAATTTAATCGAATCGTATCTTCACCTGATATCTTTTCTTCTCCCTCCTCATGACTCGTCGAAAAAAAAGAAATAAATAAAAAAAAAAAAAAAAGAGATTAATTGTTTTTCCACGAATATCGAAGGCGACACGTCTACGTTATTTCCACACCTGATTCATTATCTTACGTTGTACATTGTTCTTTAAGATTTGTTATATCTTTCCACGAAAACCACTATAGGGGCATGTCGTTCCTAAAAGGCTAACCTTTCACCGTTTTGTTTTTTTTTTTATTTTACAACCCCTAACACCTCCTTTGATCATTTTTCTCTTTAAAACTTACTTGTGTTTCCGTCAGCATCAATGAAGTTGCAACTTCGAACCTCTTAGGTCTGCTCAAATACTTGTTTTGACGAAATTGTTTTTCCAATTCGAGAAGTTGTTGAGACGTGAATGCTGTCCTTGGTCTTCTCGTTTTACCAAGTAACGCGTGTTGAGCTGCACAACCTTTTAAACAATAAGATTAACAATAAATTAGAATATATAGGTTATTCATTTAACGAATTTATTTAGATTATTATTAATATGTTTCGTGTCAAGTTCTTTTTGGGGGAAAAAACGAATTCGTGTGTGAATTATCTTCTTTTTTTTTTTTTTTTGTAAAAAAAAGATTATGCGATACGATAGGGGATTGATATCTCGAGCTATCGATTAGACTCACTCACTCACTCACTCTCTCACTCACTCTCTCATCGTTAAATGAATGATAATTATAAATTTGAGTCGTAATATTCGAAATTAGTCGTAATCTATCGAGATAACAGATCGATAATTCAGGATCGATCGTTAAACCGTAGCAACGATGATAATCATTTCATTAGCCCATACGATCCATTGGAAATCATCGAATGCTAATGCAATTATCGCGAGTGTAAATCCCTATGGATTACGGAGCGATGATTTGGGGTTAGACGTTAGGGTGGAAACGCCACTACCACCAACACCCCTACAATTAGCTCTATCAACGACTCTTGCTGCTCAGGAACCGTATCCCTAACTTATTTACGAATACATTGGCGTATACAATACTTTTTTTTTTTCATCAAATTTCTATTTATATTACAAATTAAATTGCTATATACATTATATAATTAAATATTTTATGTTGTTTTATGTCTACTTTGAATTTCCATAAATTATTAATCAATTTGATTGTATTAAATAGTTTAGAATTGTATTAAATCAACATTAATAATTATTAATTAAAAGAAGAAATACAAAAAGAAATTTAAAGTCAAACGGAAAAAAAGAAAAAGAGGAAGAGAAAGAGCAGATTTCTCATGTCATTTTAATCTCGCGCGATTTGTCAGGAACTTTGCGTCACAGTGGCTTAAAGCACCCCCGAAAACTTAACTGGCAAGTGCGTCACCGACTGTCAGTGTTTGTACACATGGCATCGTTTAGGTGAGCGCATTCGGATTAGCGTGTGATTCACTTAACCGTCGAGATATTGCTAGCAGGTACCTCTCTACCGCACACACACACACATACACATATATACATAGTTAGGAAAAAGGGGAGAGACATACGAGACGTAGCTTTGCCCAATTTTACGGCCGATAGAAAAATAAGTCGGAACACATTGATCCGTGTGATACGATCGTTCTAAATCTATCCTCCTTCGATCTTCTAACGAGAAATTTTCTAACGACGATTGATTTTATTACCAATGCAATCAAATTTTATTTTACTTCCCCTTTTTTTATTCATAATCCAGACCAATGTATGTTGTGATGGTAGTGCGGGAAAGCGTGGCCATTACTTTTTCTTCCACCACACAAAATCTTATATAAATATAATATCCTATTTAATTTATTTTATAATTTAATTTTTTTTCTTTTTTATCCTTGTAACATTTTATAATAATAACTTTTGTAATTTTACACAGTTAAAACATGTTTAAAAATTAATTTGTTTTCTTTTTTCTTTTCTATTTGTAAACATTTGTTATTTATATTAAAAAAGAGGGATTCTCGGGTAAAAACTTACGCATACATTGCGACCAAGGGTGTCCACTTATTTTTCATACCCAATAGGACACATTTGATGCTCGTTGGTATTTAACATGTAGCATTTAGCGGAATATTTATCGTCTCGTGAAAAAGGGGGCGGTTTACACCCCGTGGTGCACATATGGCGAACCCAATGATGATTTTCCCCTTTCACCCCGTACTCTTTTGGGACGATTATTATTTCGATGCGTTGTTGCACTCCTATGGTGCTCTGCTCTTCTTTTTCCTATCCCCTGTTGTTAACCCACCCCTCTCCCCCATCCCTTCTCTTCTTCCCTTCTCTCTCGTCGTATGATTTATTTTTATGTCTTTAGTCGACAAATTTTCGTTCTCGATAATTCACCGATCCTGTGACGTCGATTGGAATCGTTGAAATTATTATTGCCAAACAAAAAAAAAAGGAAAATGAAATAAATACAATTACAAATTCGAATACAAATACACACATGCACACACATATACACGTACTCGAGGTAGAAAAATTCCTATTATAAAAAAAAAAAAAACAGAAATTCTAATATAAATCCTAAAACGAAATTTTCAATCGTCATCATCGTACACCCATAATAAGTATTCATAAGTATAAATCAATATAAGTGAGATAGATAGATAGAGAAAGAAAAAAAAAGGTAGAAATGGATAATCCATCCCCTCTGATTCTTAAAAGAGGATGGGTGTAGGGGGGGGGGGCTTGCAGGGAGTCTCGACCAAGTGACATAAGGTCTAGTCACGTTCATGGGGTGGTTAAGCGTTAACTATGACGCTAACTAACTACAAACAGCCCTAGAGGTAAAATAAACAATCTAACGTAGTAGTAAAACGATAACAAAAAGGGAAATTTATCAATTGGGGTATAATTCCCGATAGAACGGGAACAGGACGACCAATGGGAGGACACATTTAAGATCTCATGTATATATAGGTAAGAATACAAATGTGTTAGGTATATTTTTCCTGAAGTCGAGAAGTTCTGATAGAATTAGAAATATAGAAAGCAATGAAAAGAAATAAAGATTGAAATGGGGTAGGAGGGGGTAAGGGATGATGATGATGGTGGTGGTGGTAAAACCGTGACAGATGTTGGTAAACAAGGAGGGTTGGCCCTTTTATCGAGTGGACAATCACCACTATTGAAACTCTTGTATCGGTGAATTAGAAGTACAGTGTCGTCAAATGCAATGTGCAGGGTGCATACCGGTTGACTATGACAACTACTACCACCATCACCACCACCACTACTACGTTTTCGCTTCGACGCAACCTTTATCATGATAATTTCATTTATTATTTGGGTATCCCATTAGCCGTTTCATGCCACCATAGGCTTAAGGTACAACCCCCTTCCTCTCCCTAAAATTGTGCGCGATCATCACGCCGGTAAACACTGGCTATTATCTCTACTTAAACCAAACCACCCTCTGTTGTATATACATATGTGTGTGTGTGTGTGTGTTATATCTGTAAAGATACGTAAGTAAGTACCCTTCGATAAAATTATAGTGTCCCACACCCCACTGCTTTATAAAGACCAAAATAAAAACCTATGAATATAATAAAGTGATATATATTTACTTCTAGATTTTTCTTAAGTACTTTTCATGTAAATTATTATTAATAGTAATCAAATATTTGTATATAGGATATACATACTTTTATATATATATATTTTTTTTTATAAACATATGAAAAAAAAGGAAATGATGATGGAACAATAGAGAGAGAGAGAGAGAGAGAGAGAGGAGTAGTTAATTGTTCCGATGTGACGCGAAAGTTTTTTTTTGCAAACGACAAATTCCCTTTCTTTTTCTCTCTTTCTCTCTCTCTTTTTTTTTTTTATTATAAAGGAAGGAGAAATCGCACCGGGTATCTCGGACTAACGAGTAACTACCCTCGTTAAACTCCTGCCTGAAGGGTTCGCTTAATTAAAGCTAATTACTCGATTCCGTTGCCGACGACTAGGAGCCACACTTTCCTTTTTATTCCTCATTTCTTTTCGTCGTTAAAATACCGTTGTCATTGGAGACATGACTGACATCCGATAAAGGATTAAATCTAAATTTCATTTCAAACTTTTTTTTTTATACAAATTTCCTATCTCTTTCTCTCAAACATAAACTCGAAAGATTGAGAAATAGAGATAGACAAAGATAAACACGCACACATATATATGTATAGATATATACAGGTGGTAGTCCGTAAGCGGTAGGTATCCAAGTCCGGAACCGAAAATGGCCACCCTCTAATGGACACCAATTACCCAATAGCGAATTGCAAATTGGAATTACCGTCCTAAATCGGCGTGTATACCTCTAACCAAGTAGCAGTAGCAGCACCAGCACCAGCAGAACCAGCACCAAGAGAGGAGAGTTCAGTTTCCGCAGTAGGAAAACCAAAGGGGTTGCTGCTGCTAACGACTTGGTTGGTGTGTCGGTGTGTGCATTTCATCCTTCTCTCCCTTCTACCTAGTACTCTCAATCCCCCACGCCATCCATCCCCATTTCATCCCTCCCACCCCTGGTTTCCCATTTACCCTCTCACTTCTATTCTCAGCCTGTCCCGTGAACTACGAGACGTTTAGGTATCTCTCTCTCTCTCTCTCTCTCTCACTCACTCTTATACGCGACGTTTCAACGCGGGTCTGTCTGTGGTGCCAGAAGCTCCGCCTGCAATTCCCCTAACCCCCTTAGCATGTCCCGCCCCCAAATTATCTGCCCCTCGGATACGAACTAAACGAATCTAGCCGAACCCAAGAAGAGAAGAGAAGAGGAAAGGAGAGGAGAGCAGTGGAAAGGGGTGGAGAGGATATCTCCACCTACTCTTACCCTCATTCTATTCCTCCCTTTTCCTCTTCCTCTTCTTCTTCTTCTTTTCTTTTCTTTTCTTTTCTTTTCTTTTATTCCGACAAAGAGATGCCAACCATCCCCCTTCTTTCTTTCTTTCTTTCTTACCCCATTCTCTCTGATAGACGAAGGAAGAAAGGGAGAAAAGTTGGGCCAACTTTTATCAGGCTATTTTCCTTACCCCGAAATGGCTGAATTTAATCCCGAAACTGTAGGAGGGTGGGGGAGTGGGGAGCCCTCGCAAGTCCGCCACAAATCACGCCATAAACATCCGCTATGTTACTTCTTATTCTTGTCCTGTGTGTAACCCTCCCCCGTAACTCCTCACCGTACCAAATATCTGAACCTTTTCTATATCATTCTCTCTTTTTATTTTATCTTTTAGCCAAATTCGATATAAGAATGTAATAGTCTATCAATGTTCCTGTTTTTTCCTAAATATTGAAAATATTATTGGCTATGTAATCTTATTGCAAATAAAAGAGAGGGAAAGAGAAGGAAGATAGGTAATATGGTTTTAGGTAAAGAGAGTGAGAGAGAGTGAGAGAGAGCAAGATAGAAAGCATATAGATAGACACGATAGCGCGTTTGAGCG